GGCTACTTGTCATTGATAAATGAGACATAAAATAAGCCTGGACTATCAAGTTCTGTCTGGGGTTTAACAAAAGGAATCCAGTGAAGAACAAGTTAGATGTTTAATAACAAATATAAAGTACAGACTAAATCTCTAGAATCTGTAATCATGTATTTTCTCTCTTATGACTAGACATATCACTGCTATTTTGGGAAAGGACTAAGAAATTATGTTAAACTTAAAAAACAAAACAAAATTTTTATAAAGATGTTTAAAATTTTAGTTACTGTCTGTATTTAGTACCCTTCAAGATGTTCAAAGTATTTGAAAGAACTTTTTTAAAATTTACTATCTCTGTGCAAAATAATACATAAAGGTCATATTTTTATCTTTTTATCCTTATCTAAAAAGAGCTATGATAGGTTACATAATTAATACCCAATATTATGTAAACCAGGGCCTATAAAAAGAAGAAAACACACGGGAAACTTCTCTGAGATCCCAAGTCTTGAGAAATCATAGTTCAGGGCTTGATTTATAGCAGAAAATCCTTTAATGTATATAAGTAAACTTTTGTGCAAATAGGAGAGTACTACACCACACAAAAAATAGAAATGAAAAAACTGTCTTTTTGGCTTTGATGAATAATATAATTCTATTAATAATTAAACCACATTATACCTAATGTTGGAAGGTCTTGCAAAAGTGAATTTTAAGAAATACCCTTTAAAATTGAAGGATGTTGTTTGATGAATAAGATGGAGAACAAAGGCAAAAAGATTTGAAGGTGAGATGTGACCCAAACACAGGGAGAGGAAGGAGATGTGAGAAAAATATAACACCCAGTAGCCGCAGAATAAAGTGATCATCATCTAGTCAAATGGGTATATGCATTTCACTGCTCACTGTACATAAATCTCATGTTATATCAGGTCCCAAATAGGAATCCCTACCATTTCTATTTAGGAAGCCTTCTCCTGACAGGTTTGTTTTTTCAAACCAATCAAGCTCCTGTGAATTCAATTTGATGGAATGGAGTTCCGCCACCCTGCCACTAATCAGAAGCCTAACGCAGAACCTACAGTCTCAGAGGCAAAAACAGGGACCGTGGAAGACAGAATCATCTCATATTATAAAAAGTTACATTCCATCCTTTTATTTGTCTCCATGTATACATCTTTTCTGGTTCTTAAGGTCCTCAGAGAATCTATGTTTGACACACTGGGTACATTTAAGCTACCTTACATAATATCTCACACTCAGTGGGAATCTATAAATTCAGACATATCTTAATCACATAGGAACCATTTGGAGAATTAAAGCTTTTCCTTCTCCAATTTGCTGTCCAGTTTTGGACCACTTTAGCACTCCTCCTAAGTAAAAGTAGGGAAGGGACAAAGAATTTGAAATTTATGGTTTTGCTTAGAAGCCCTGCTGAAGTGCTCACGTAAGTGAGTAACCTCGATCCAAGGAGTCTCTGAGAACTCTGTGAACCTATGTTCCTCCAATAACCTAAAACTAAACACAACAGACAGAGACGATGGCGATGATGTGCTTACGAATACTGTGAAACAAACAACTCCACTCAGACAACTGAGAGCTTATTACATACACAGCGTGCTCAGGAATTTTTCTATTATAAAACTGTAGTGACAGGATGGTGGGGTGCGTAGGAAAGGAGAAAGAAAGGGACCAGAAAAAGAAGGGCAGTTGAGAATCAAAGACAGCTTACGGAAGCATCAGCAGCCAGAAAGAACACGTTCCTAGGGTTCAGTGTAATCTCCTCTATGCCAATGAGCTTATGACAAGAAATATTTCTTATACCAAAAAGCAGAAGATAAGAAAATGTGTAGCTGCCTACTGTGGACTACTGATGTCAAGGTGATAGGATCACAATACTCTCAGTATGACTATGCTATTATTAGGCCAGACAGAATGGAATTACAACCCTATTTTAGTTTATAGCAATAGGTAAAAGGGCCAATTTCTATCTAAGGTGAAGACAATCTACCAACTATTATTGATCATACTTTTGGCAACTGAATTTAAAAATATATATATATAATGGAAAAAAGAGAAGGGCTTCTCCCTCCCTTGCCCTAGGCAGAGATCTCCCAGAGGGATAAAGATCGATACCAAGTAAAAAAAAAAA